TAGGTTGATCACTGTGACTCTACCTGTAGTCTCCATTGTAGTTCCTTGTTGGGGATACCTTATAGAATCCTTAATATATAATTGGTTAAACCAAAAAAAGAACTACAATGGAGACTATAGGTATGATTCAAGAAGGCTGGCACACCATGAACTTGTCTTGTGTCAGGCTCTCCAATACCCTCAGCTTTCACGATTCACCCGCGAAAGGCCTGCGAGTTCCGCCGCGAGGGGGACTCCTGTGAAGGAAGTTACTCGTCTCTGTAGGGAAGGAGAGGATGAAAGCTTCAATGGCTTAAGCCTGTGCTCCTGACTTCGAATGTTCCTTCCCGACCCTTTCGGCTCAGGTGCGGCGCCTCTCCACAACAGCCTGCTTCACGGGCTGTTCGTGGGCCGGAAAGCCAGAGACAGCACAGGTTACGCAACAAAAATGCACACCCGGAATCCTAAGACAAGTTAGCAATCTGTAACATGTAATTAGTCACTGTAGTCCTCAATCCGCTGTCTTCGGGTTCCTGGGAAAACCGAAGCACCTCCGAGGAACGCTTGGCCTCCCTGATGTATTCGGTGCCCTAAGCTCCCAGTTTGCCTCAATCCTCGCGCCCGACCCTCAAACCCAAAGCTCCATGAACCCACAAACCCAACACCCCTGTAACAACGTCCCGACTCAAAGGCCCTTTTCGGGGTCCTTCGATCCTAGTCGGGAAGACGTTGCTGTAGACTCCTCGCACGGCTCAGCTGTTCCGTGATGGGAGTCCCAAAATGCTATATTATCATTATATCATACCCTGTCACAGTATATGATGTTGCATTATATCATACTATGTGGTATCTAGTACCATATTCCTTTCTGAAACACATCTTTTGATCCGGGCTGTGCCTGGAAGCCAGTTTGCGCTCTCGGGACTATATGGGGGATTCCGAAAATAGGGGACCCTGATATAGTACCCTAAATAATAGGATCCTTATTATAAGGACCCCAAAATAAGGTACCCCTAATTTCCGGAAAGTCCCATATATGATGCAACCGAAAACTGCTTTCAACAATGGCCCAGCAAAACTTGCTTGGCTGTACTACTGATAAGGGGTTCTTGTTAATAAGGGCTCCAGAAGGAAGGGCTGCTGTACAGACCAAGCATTCTTGCGGGTTCAGGGTTTCGTGCTAAGGTTGCGACATGCTGTAAGGGTTGCGGTTTGGGGTGGTGTAGTCCAGGGATGATCCGTAAAACCCGAAACTCCCAAACCTTAACTTAGCGCCTAAAGCCTCAACTCCTGAAGCCCTGAAACCCAAAACTGCAAACATAAACCCTAAACCCTGGGTCCTAAACACTTTTTTCACAAGGGACTCGGCTGCTGCGCCCTTACTGCCCAGCTTGACCCAAACACTGAGCCCTATAAGCCCTCCACCCTAGGCCCCAAACCTTCCCTTAATCCCGAAGCCCAACGGCTGAGAAGCGCCCCGAACCCAGCCTTCGACAGAACACGCGGACGTGGGTTGAAGTCCTCCAGCAGCAATTGGACTAGGGTTCCTTTAAAGGGATCCTTAAAGGGTTCTAGGGTTCCCTTAAAGGGTTCTGGAGGGATCTATGAAAGGGTTCCACATTAGGGGCCTTAATTATTCGAAGCGAGGACTCTATAAGGGTTCGTAGAAGGGTTCTCGTGTAGAGGCCTTAGTGATTCATAGGATAGTCAAGGGTAGTTTTTGGAGGTTGTTTATCACGGATCCGCAATGTAGGGCTTCATGTAGGGCAGGATTTTAACAAGGGTTCTTTATCAAGGTTCAGCAACAAAGTCCTTATTGGGTTTAATTCCGGAAGGTTCTGGGGTAATCAGACCAGAACAACGATGGGGAACCCTAAGGTAAATTGCTGTAGGGTTTTTGGCACTCGGATTCGGACAAGCCTTCCAAGCAGTCATGGTTGCTGTCATATATGGAATGCCTGAAACGCCTCCAGCAAGTATCGCTTGAAGGCTTAGCGTTTCCGAGCAACGAATGGCGCACAGGGTCTCAAAGACCAAAGCTGGATGTAACAGGGGTCTGGCGGCTTCTAGCCTCGCCTCTTTCTGGTGCGTGCAAACGGGAATCTACAGCAACTTCCAATCATGACTCGTGTTTCTTCCGTTTTGGACTGGGTGACTGGGTTTGTGGCTTCGTGTCGAAGGCTCGGTGCTGGTCATCCCGAAATGCTGAGACTGTGAACGCGTGCTTTTGAGCGCAGCTTAACATGGCACAAGCTCGCAGCAATATCTGAAACCTAGAAGCCTTCACATGCTCAGGCTTATGTGTTGGGGCCGTACTGAAACCTCGTGTCAGTGTTGCTGTGCACCCGGCGCCCCCTAATCCTGAAGCCTAAAGCCTAAGCCCTAAACCCAAGCTGTGTCTCTTTGGCCCGAAACCTGTTCCTACAGACCCTCGCCCCAAAACAATGAAGCAACAGAAGGGGAGGCTTGATCTGACGTCCTTTCAAAAGGATCATGCTGCAAATGTACCCGTCCTTCATACCGGAGCTCCGCGTGCCACTTTGGGTGGGCGGTTCCTGCTGGTGAATTCTCAGCGAACCCAAAAGCATTCTCCATGATGGGATGCCGCCCTAGCAATAATCGTAAGATTAGCATTATTAGTACAAAAAGCCATAGCGATAATATCATGTTTCCAAACCTTGCAAAGGGTCCTTGATGGCTTAGAGGTCTGTTTCTTATGAGCAGGCCTCGGCCTTCACAATCCAACCCTGTGGAAACCTGTCCCTACTGTTAAGGACAAGATTCCCTAAACCCCCACAGGTGCCTACTATATAGGGTACTAGAGCCCCTAGGGCCCTATATAGTAGGTACCTGGGGGGTTAGGGATTACTGAACTTTGGCGACATCTCTTCTATTGCAAGGTTAGGAGTAGTTAAAAGGCCTAGGATGAAAGGTGCCTGACACTGTTCGAACAAGGTACTGGGGCCTGTTATAGTTTAAACCCTAAGCCCTAAACCCAAAACCCTAAACCCAAAACCCAAAACCCTAAACCCCAAACTCTAAACCCTATATATCGGACGTTCCTACAAGGGGTTGTGGTAAACCCAGAGCCAGGTCTGTCCTTGGAGCCGGAGCGCTGTCGACCAACCTCAAGGATCTCCTTGTGACATCTCGGAGTCTTCACCCAGAGACTCCAATATCCCTTGATTAGGGAATATACCTTAAATTATCGTAGGATCCCTAATATGATTTCAGGTATATTCCTTAATTAAGGGATATTGGAGTCTCTGGGCACTTGAACTGCAGTCTCTGCAAATGCGGCTTCGGTTTAGGGTTTAGGGGTTCTGAAGTTCTCTAATTAGAAGAGGGTATTGGGGCCCATTATACTGTAATGATAATGAGGAACCCCCAGAATAGTATTGGTAATTATTTGGGCCCCTGGGCCCTAAACCTCAAGCCCTCCAAGCCCTGAATGCAGTCTCTGCAAACGCGGCTTCGGTTTAGGGTTTAGGGGTTTTGAAGCCCATTTTTTCTCCCTCCCAAGGGTTCAGGGTTTAGGGAAATGCGGCTTCGGCTCACAACAGTGAACAAATCCTGCTAGAACTCGTAGGGTTTTTTAGTCCAGCATGGGCTTGGATTTGTGGGGGACTTGAAGCCCAAATCCCGGGAGTCCCACACAGCCGAAACCGCGAGTTAGCCTCAAGCTGCCCCTGGTCCCTCTCCTCGGGGTTGACGATCACCGATGCCTTAGAGCCACGGCGACTCGACTCCTGCTTCCTGGCTGTGTGCACGCTTGAGATTTCTATGAGTGCTTGTAGTTTTGTAAACAGGTTTGTAAGCTTTGGGTGCGGATGAACTGAGTCCCGGCGTGAGTAAAGGTTGAGGAGTTCGGGTTGGGGTTTAGGGTTTAGGGTTTAGGGTTTAGGGTTTAGGGTTTAGGGTTTAGGGTTTAGGGTTTAGGGTTTAGGGTTTAGGGTTTAGGGCTTCTTTTCTGGGTGGTTGTGTTGGAATGTACCGTAGGACTGAGGATTTGAGGCTCAGTAAGAGTCCATCAGATCATGCCTATAGTCTCCGTTGTAGTTCCTTTTTGGGGATACTTTATAAACTCGTCAATATATATATATATATATATACATATATATATATATATATGGTTAAACCAAAAAAAGGAACTGCAATGGAGACTATAGGTGTGCTTTTGGGGGTGTCACTTTGGAGATCGGGCGTTCGAAGCGCCAGGCGCCAATAAGAATCCAACAGCGATGCTTGTGACTCTCCTCTCTGAGCCCTACCCATAGGCCCTAAAGTAGTTCCTTTTTGGGGTTCATATATAGAATCCTATAAGGTAACCCCAAAAAGGAACTACTATGGGGTCTATGGGTACGCCCTACACCGTAGGACCAAGAACGTCAAACCCCAAAACCAACATGCCACAGCCGAAAACCAGCCTTCCCTGACTGGGACCCTGCAGCTCGAAATCGATCCGGTTTTGGAGAAAACTGCTTTTCAAGGCCGGCCTTGGAGAAGCTGCTTAAGGTAACCCTAAACCCTACACCCTAAACCCTAAACCCTAACCAGTTCCATGTAGCACATGGCTTAGTCGTCAGTATGATGAGCTCTTATAATGCAGCTCACGGAGGCCTTCGGCATTAGGAGATGCCTTAAACTTTAAACCCTAAGAGCACTAAACGTGTAAAGTTCGGATGTTTGGGGCTTCTGGGGAAGCCCACCCTCCGCAGCTCTAAGCGAGCTGCGCACCTAAAGGACGAGCCCTGATCTAGAGTCAAGCAAGTCAGGAGACTTGCAAAATACGATGGGGCAAGGCTGCTCATAACCCCAAGTGTAGGACAACACAAGAGGCCTTGATGAGACGTAAATGCCAGGATGCTGAAGACCGAGTATTATTCAGAAGCCCTAGGGCCAAACCTGGAAATCAAGTCGCAAGAAGTCTTAGCCTCTTAAACCAAGCCTGTAAGATCGACAAATACATTGCTCTTCAATTATTTTGAAATCAGATTCTGTAGAAGCCCAACTGATTCTGACCGAGACGCTCAAGTTCGCGCTGCTTCCTCTCTTCCAGATGCTGTGCTGCTAGCTCTCGAGCTCGCTGCCACCTTAGGGATGGAACTGAAGAAAGCTCTTTGTCAAGATTCACGAACCCAGACAAACATACAAATAGGCGACGACTGAAATCCTGCAAACTCAAACCACGGGAAAACCTGCTGTCAACTCGTGAATCTAGGCTACACCCCGGTATCCCAACAAATCCCCAGGCAGAATTCCCAACAAAAAAAAGCACCTTCCAAATCGCGAAGCACAAGAGCCCCCCAAGGGTCACCAAGGTACTTAGGGGCACGTATATACTGTCTGGATCCAAATCCTGAGCTCGTCACTTCGCTTTGGTCGCATTGTGCGCCGCCCGGATTTCTGCGAATTGAAATCTCGTCATGAGAGAAAATTGGGGTGCAGGAACCGAGGCCGTTTGCGAAGCTGAGCCGGAGCCAGTGTCTGCGGCGGCACATGCAGATGGAGGCATGAAGAGTTGCGCCATGACTCTGAGGCGCACAGAGTAGCTAGCAGCTACTGTTTGTAGAAGCTGCCTCGCCTGAACATTGCCTCCTATGCCGGTGGATGCGTCTGTTGACACATTTCGTTGGATGGAGGTGGCTTTCGATGTTCTTACAGCATGCGGTGCAGGGATGGCATGCTTCTCGCAATGGTTCGTGTGCTTGGAATGCATATCTTATGACGATAGGATAGTAAAGCCTTCGCCAGAACCGCATGTAAAGAAGAGAAGCGTGAAACCAGGCTTTCCTCCCTCCCTGCACCTCCAACTGCTCGTCCTGGAGACAGCCCCCCATGAAAGCCTGAGCAGCTTTGCCCAGACTCCCACGGCACGAGCCGCCAACCGACAAGGCCGTCTAAATCTTGAGAAAGGGGAAAATGAGGGTACCTCATTTTGGGGTGCTTTTAATAAGGATCCTACTATTGGGTACTATATTAGGGTCCCCTGTTGATGAAAGCCCCGTCGGAAGTCTTCGAACCCCTTGCAGACTACTTTACCAACCTTCAGCTCAGAAGGTGATCGAGGGAAATCATCCATTCAGAGGTCCCGGCCGTGGCTGCCAAGACCAGACTGGAGCGCTCAAAAGCCAAGATCTGCCTTGCACAGAGTCTAAGGAAGGTTCAAAGCTTCGGTGTTCATGGCACTAAGCAAGGCCTCTTCGGTTTGAGATTCTGTGTTTAGGCTGTAGGGGCTTTAGCGCCGTCTTTTTGCACCCCTTTTTTTTCTGCAGTACAGGTCAGGAAGCGGTGTTCCGCTGGGTGTTAGGGAGGGTTTTAAGGTTTACGATTTAGGGTGTACAGGTTCAGGGTTTCGACTCACACACTCGCACGAAGCAGGCATGCTTCACGACGTTCAGGGTCTAGGGCCAGGGTTTGTGCAGTTGCGGCTGGAGCAATGGTAGTGTGGGACCTCCGATGGTGTCAAGCTTGAACACATAAAGCGAGGCCACAAGTCTGAGCTCCAGCTCTTCTGCAGCATGCCTTGCTAGGATGGATGCAGACTACTGTTCAAAGACTGAGGCTACTGACAATGCTACTATCGCAGGTTTGCTACTGCTATGACGACGACTACCACTCCTCCTACTCCTGTACTCTTCCTCCTGCTGCTTCTGCTTATGCTGCTACGGCCACGACGACAAGATACTACCGGTCACGGCTAACCTGCGCATCAGAGGTTCGCACACACTCAGATTACAAGCAAGCTGCCTGGGTTCGCCCCCTTGGGGCTCGGGGCTTGTCGGCCATGAGGATTACCTATAGTCTCCATTGTAGTTCCTTTTTGGGGATACCTTATAAAATCCTTAATATATAACTGGTTAAACCAAAAAAAGGAGCTACAATGGAGACTATAGGTAAGGTCAGGCTTCAGCATCTCTCGGCTCACACTCGCCGGCAACCCAGTCAGAGGGGACAAGTTTACAGCTGACGTGCTTGGGGCTTTGGGGCTGCAGTTCATTCTCAGATCCAGTGAAGCCTGAGTCTAACTTGAACTGTACAGTAGTGCTGTGTAGCTTCTACACATCTGTGACCAGCCGTGCGGCCGCCTTCCTGTAGCTCCAGAGCCCTACGGTAAGCACCCCCCTCGAAGTCTGAAAATCAAAGTCCTTCCGGACATAACGCCACCAGCCCCTCTTAAATCCCAACTTACACGGCTTGATGGCCTCTCGGGCAACAGCTGGCGCATTTGCCTTGCCCCGGCGCCCCCGCCGAGCCCCACAAGGCCTATGCCTTGGCACAGCTCAAGGGCTCATGCGATTCTTTCGAAGAACTTGAGGAACTCATAGTTGATGGGAGACACACCCCGTACAGTGTGGATAGGGCTTAGGGTTTCCTTTTAGGAGCTACGCATTGCTAACCTTTAACTTACTGGCACCGTGCCATGAACCCGCCAAGGGTAACTCCTGCACCCTTGCTCAAACAGCTATTCCAAAGACCAACTGCACCGCTCAACATCTGCTCGACACCTTGAGCAACTGAATGACATCAGGACATCTATCTCGTAAGCCTCATTCTTTTACTCTCTGGAAGCCTAAAACGGAGCCTTACAAGCTCAAGCCCTTGATGAAATTCAAGGGCAACTTCGAAGTCTCAGAACCACTCGGCTGACGCTTTAGGGTTTCCCAATTATACTATAATTGGAATAAGGAACGCCCAAAACAATGTAGGTAATTATCAAGGCCCCTATATTTGTTGTTTAGGGTTTGGGGGGCTAAACACTAAACCCCCACCTGCTGACACTGACTCCATGGTTTAGCCTGAAATCTGAAAGGTCCTCGTCCTCGTCCCATGGCCTTTTGCTTGGTGCACACACTAAAGAGCTCCGAGCAATCTACCCTACCCTACGGTGAAACACCTAGTCTTCTAGTGTTGCCGGTTACCACTATGTACATCTTTATTGCTGACGTTGTTGCTAGTACAGCAGTAGCTTGTTGTTAGAAGTATTCGCAGTATTACTGCTGATGATGTTGATTATGAGTTTTGTTGGTACAACTGCTGTTGCTGATTCTGGTGAATTTTGCAATTGTCGTCTTATGAGGCCGGTTTGAATGACGATCCTTGCTGGATCTACTGCGGAAAAGGAATAGATATATTCCTATCATGTACCTCCCTGCCGTCACCACGGCCCTGCGGCAGCAACTTGTGCTTAGCACAAAGGCCGAACTGGTCGTTGGCATAGCTTGTGAGCTGTGCGGCAGGTGGTTTAGAAAGCGAGGTGTTCAGATTGTGGAGCACACAAATGATGGACTGGTTTCTGACGTGCTACACTTCCGGACTCATAAGCGCCATAAGTGTTCTTGACCATCCAACCGGCAATGCTCGTACAGTAGGCCACTGTGGGCTTCATGCTCTCATCACAACACCTCGCGGCCCAACAAAGCAAAGCTACTGCCAAATCTTTGTGGCTGAGGCGAAACCCTAAACCCTAAACC